ACAATGTATACCAAAATATGTTCAAAAACTCCATCTGTGTAGTACTTTTATATTAAAAGCCAATTTCTTTTTCTTCTTGTAAAACAAAATGTGATGCTTGCTTATGTTAGCAATCTGAGCTTTTAGCTCCATCTAGTGCAATACATGTATTGCATATTGTCCCTGCTGAATAAATATTAAATACATAAATCAAAAAGATTAGAGGAAATAAGTGCAGAAAGGTAGAGGAAGTAGAGAAGACAAAAGGACAGAAAAAGATAATAACATGAGGCATTTTAAGAACAAGATTCCTCTTTTATTCTAATTCAACCCCCCAGGGAGTCATTATTGAGAGAATAACTGTGTAAATGTTGTTGAATCAGTGTGTTTTTTAGTGTGTGTGTTGCTTTAATAATGCAGAGCAGGGTTGCTGTCAGCCGCGCCCGTGCTGCTGTCATTAACGTTGACGTGCAGATGGTGGGAGCCTGTTAAAGCGCTCTCACCTCGGTCCTCCACTCCATACTGTTTATGACCAGCCGCCATAATGCACCGTAATGCACTGCCAGCTATTAATTATAATCAACATCCTCTCCTATAGAGTCTCTGCTCTCTTACCTTGACGACTTCTGTTGGTCTCTGAGTTTCTACATGCACTGTATGAAGTAAAAAAAACAACAACAAAACAATACATAACATTTAAATACGTACATTACACAGATTCACTGAACTAGCACCGAAATCTGACAGAATACAAATAAACCTTTTTCATTTGCATGTTTACAGCGAAAACCTACATTTACATCAGAATTGCCCAATGTAAGTTAGTCTTTACAGACCGATACACTGGGGGGCCACTGATTTATGCAGAAGGTAGCATGAAATATGTGTCTCAGCTTTCCAGTCATTCACAGTTTATGCAATTCCAACATTGTTTATGGACCCCAGTATGCAGAAATATTCAAATACACTAAAATAACTCATTTATACCACATGCAAAAAACTGCATTAGCATAAAGTGTCTGCAAACAGGAGACTCGTGGGTTCCCATAGAACCCATTTTCATATCTTGAGGCCAGAGGTCAAGGGATCCCGTTGAAAATGGCCATGCCAGTTTTTCCTTTGCCAAAAATGTAGCCTAAATTTGGAGCATTGTTTAGCCTCCTTCTCGTCATGCTAGCATGACATTGTTGGTACGAAGCGTCACCCTGGTCTTCTACTCTCAGATCATACCAGTATCTTCACTCTGCAGCCTCTGAAAGACAGTGCGAAGAGGTATATACCTGTTTTAATGTAGAGCACTGGTTCTCAAACTTTTCTGTCATTGAACTGACAACCCCTCACTAAGTCACATATTTTATTTTTTTTAGTTCATTTTTCACATTATACTCAACTGTACAACAAACCCAGTGAACACAATAACTGCAGGAACTTTGTGTAAAATGAGCAACTAAATTGATTAATCCTGTGAATATTGTTTAGAGTTGAGAAACTTTTTATCCAATCCTCTGCCTGTATTATGTTATTTTACAATCACACATACTCCTTTTCAACAAAGATTTCTTCTCCCTGATATCCAATGATCCAATGCAGGAAGAGGCTGTTTATCAGACAACGAAGGCTGTGTGAATATAGCCTGTGTTCAGGTCTTCAAAGTTGATATTTTAAATAATAATCTAAATCTTAATAATAATATATTATACATTTCTTACACATCTCAAAATCAAGAAGGCTTTGCAACCCCCCATGAAGCTTTGGCGACCCCTAGTGGGAGTCCTGACCCCAAGGTTGGGAGTCACTGATGTACACAATGTACACTATGAGGAATGAAAACGACTAAAATGTGTCTAAAAGTATTTTTTCAGACTAATTCTAAAATAGCTGCCCAAACTAACACTGATAACGTGAATAGTGACCGCCTCAAAGCTTGTGTGTGTGCTGTCAGGTCATCATAACCAAGAGTGAGTGAGTGAGTGAGTGAGTGAGTGCACTCTCTTTTGTGTGATATTGCGCCCTCTGCAGGAGGATGAGGAGTACCTACTGTTTCCCTTCACTTAATTAAATCCCTCATATGCCTGCTCATGTGCTCAATTTTTGACATTTATTGATCAGTGAAGCTACATTTGTAAAGCTGGGAAAAATGCTTAGAAACATTTAGTCCCTCCAGGGTCCAGTACGGTCATAAAGTTGAACTTCACACACTTTTTTAACGTCTTATTTAGCAAATTACCACAAGCGATGCTAGTTATGGCAATTTGAACCTTTTAAACCACTCTCTGTTGGCTGTTATTTTCATTAGGGTCTATAATCCGACATCCCCTTTATGAGCGATCAGACTCAGTCCGTTCCTCCTGCAGCCTCCGAGGAGACATCTTAACCCGAGAGGAGACTTATTAAGACGGATGAGACATCATTTGCTTCAAGGCTTTTACCTTGAGGGAGGAAAATACACTTTCAAAATAACCCATCACTTGCCTCTAAGTGGTAAATGTAAGACCTTTGATTTGCTTAACGCGTGCTGCCTCTGCTTTCAAATGATGTACTTGAAGGTACCGAGAGCCTTAATGGTTTTCAGGAAATGCCACTTTTGTGTTGGAGTGCTGCGAAATCTGCGCGTCTTGTTAAAGGATAACCTTCTCTCCTCGCCTCCCCTCTCCCGTGCATTAGAGGGAAAGTGTGCGTGTAGCCTATAGGCGGTGTCTGTGCGTCGGGGGAGTGTGTGTGACCGTGCTCTGATAGCGTGTCAGAGTGAATTAGCCTCCGCGTGGCGTCCGCCTGGCACACACCGCTGCCTGCCCTCTGCCCACCGCCCCGCATATGTGCCCAAGATTAGAATTAATAACCAGCGCTGCCAATCATGCTTTAATCACAATAACTCTGCATTTAGGGGGCGCAGGGAGGTCGCAGGCATCTGGGCCTCAGGATGGCCAATCTGGAGCAGCTAATAAGGCGGGTCTGCACAAGTGTGTGTGTGTGTGTGTGTGTGTGTGTGTGTGTCCCTGATGGACTCATTTTCAGTGTTGGTGGTGGCAGCTGCTCAGGTGAGCCACAGAGACTAACAGGAAGAGTACAGGATAAAAAACACACACACTGTTGGGTTGTGTATACTGAAGTAAAGTCTCATGTACACCGTAAACAATGAGTAACTGTTGTGTCTGGGTCTGTTTTGTTAAAGCAAAAACCCCTAAAGTAATCTGTGTGTTAGAATAAATGCCAAAATAAATAGCCAGTATATGAAATATATTAAGAAATGCAAAGCTTATGACAATATAAAACAATATTCTAACTTATTCTGTTGAAACTACAGAAGCTCATTCATGTTAGAAAAAAGAAAAAAAGACAAAATGTAAAGAATGACAGAAAGTACTGAATTCCCTGTCATTGTTTTACTGTTATATTAATATTACTGCTGCATTAATGCTGCATTTTACTGCTGTAGATGTTTAAGATGTTCATTTGAACTACTTTATATATTGTTGCTAGTTTTAATTTACAGCATCACTGCATTACTGCAATTTACTGCATCATATTCTTTAAGGTCATCATATGTTTGTACTATTTGAGAATTTACAATGTTATTTTAGATAAAATGTTTATATCCCAACTGGATTCTGGAGCTTTTTCAGCCCTTTAAAGATATAATCTAACATTTTCACGTTAAAATATCCGTCATTAAAATCTGTCATTTCATTCAGGTAAGCTGTGTTTCACTGGTTGCCTGGAAATGGCATCATATCTTGACTTTTTATCCAGTTTAAAGCCACATTTTTACCATCCACTGTTTAGATCTTGGTGGTTTTTAACTTAACTGAACCAGATTTTAGTCATCAGACGTCTGGATCTAAAGTTATCAGAGAAACAAGCTGAGCGTCATATAGATGACCTAAGGTGGTTGGTTACCATTGGTACCAATCATGTCATGATGGCATGTCTGGAAGGAGGTTCAATAACACTCAAGATATGGAAATGGGTTCTATGTTTACCTCTTTGCAGATACTTTATGCT